CAAGTTCGAAAGTGTCAACCCTATGGTGGGATGCTGTCGAGGTAACCTCAAAGGGATTGCAAGTTGACAGCTCATTCATTTTGGGTTTCCTGATACGGCGTTTTTTATGATTTTTTTTTTAAAATGTTATAAAAATTTGAAATAAACAAAACTAAAGGAACTGAAAATTCTCAATCAAGTGGTGGGTCGCTATCAGCGTAAATTCAGGAACTGCAAATGTCTTCTCTCAATAGTTGTGCTCAAATCCTTGTGGCTTTCGAGGCGTGGCGATCACTATGATTTTTTCATTTTTTTAAACAAAACTTGGAAAAACTAACCGAATTTGAGATTCTTAATCCTGTGATTTGCTGCTGTCGGGAAGTTTCGGGCGAATTGTCAAGTTAAATTTTGGCGTTCAATTTTAACTGCTGAAAACTGGCTGGTTTTGGTGATAAGGCGTTTCTCATGATTTTTCATTGTTTTTTTAAAATTTTATTAAAAAAATTAACAGAACTTGAAAGTGTCAACCCTATCGTGGGGTGCTGTCATTGTACGCAGTGAAAGCAAAATATGGTTCTCGGGATATGGGGATTTTGTTTTTGAGTTTTACATTTTGTTTAAAAAAGTTAATAAAATAAAACTAGCCGAACTTGAACTTCTCAGCCCTGTGTTGGGATGCTGTCTAGATACACAACGGATTTGCAATTCTTTCCTCTAAAAAGTTTGCTAAATCCTATTGGTTTCCGAGATATGACAATTTTATGTTTTTTTTTTCATCTTTCAAAAAAATCTATCTATTTGTTATATTTTGGCGTCTCTAATGATTTGTTTTTTGATTTCTTTTAAGTTTTTCCAGAAAACTTAGATTTGAAAAATTCAAGAATTGGATTTCCCAACCTTGTAGTTGGGTATTGTATTAGTAGCTCCAAATTGCAACATCTCAGGTGTTCCAAATTGCAATATCTTGCATCCAAATGGGCAAAGTTTAGTTTCCGAGATATGAGGTTTGGTAAGTCTATTTAAATTGTTTAAATTATAAATTTCACAAATGTTGAAATTCCCATCTCTATAAAGATGTTCTGTCAGGGTACTCTCAGAAGTTGCAAATTTTTTCTTCAAATATGGCTGCTCAAGTCCTTGTAGTTTTCGAGATATGACGTTTTCTATGATTTTTTCAGAAGTTATTCAGATAACCTAATTTCAGTTTTTTTTTAAAATTTAATTTCCCGACCTTTTAGTTCGAGACTGTCACAGTAGTTTCAGAAGGTTCGCTTGTTGCCTCCACATATAACTGCTCAAGCCTTGGTAGTTTTCGAGATATGACGTTTTTTATGATTTTTCAAATTATTTTTTGTTTACAAATTTGAAATCCCTTACCCTGTAGTTGTGTGCTGCCAGGGTAAGCGCAGGGATTGCGAATCTTGCCTCTAAATATGACTGCTCAGTTCCTTGTAGTTTTTGAGATATGAGGTTTTTTGTGATTTTTTTTCAGAATACCCTAACAATTTTTTTTTTCAAAAATTGAAATTCTCAACCCTGTACTTGTAGGCTATCAATGTACTCTCACGGGTTGCGAACCTCGCATCTAATTATGACTGCTCAAATCCTTGTTGGTTTCGAATATGACGTTTTTTATGATTTTTTTTCAGTTATTGGCTGTCTCAGAATTTTCGAATGTTGCCTCCACATATAACTGCTCAAGTCTTGGTAGTTTTCGAGATACACGGTTTTTTGGCTTTTTCAAAAAATATATTTTTCAGAGAACTTCACGTAAGTTTGAAGCTTCTCAAAATCTAAAATTTCCAACGCTGTAGTTGGGTATTGTAAGAGTACTCTCAGCAGTTTCAAATCTTGCATCCAAATGCGACTGCTTAATTGCTTTTAGTTTCCGAGATGCGATGTTTGGTATGTCTATTTTTTTAAATATTCAAAATTACATATAATTCTCAAACAACTTGATATTGCCTCCAAATATGATTGCTCAAGTCTTAGTATTCATCGAGATTTGAAGTTTTTTATGGCTTTAAAAAAAGAATTTTTTGAAAACTTCAGTTTGAAGCTTCTCAAAATCTGAAATCTTGCAAATCCTTGCGTCCACATGCGACTGCTCAATTGCTTTCCTTTCTGAGTTTTGACGTTTCTTAATTTGTCTTAACTTTGATATGAAAAACTTGTAAAACACTTGCAAAATTTGTAATAATCAACCCTGCAATTGTGGTGCTGTGAGAGAAAGTTCAAAGGATGCAGATCTCTTTTAAATGCTTTTCTTTGAATTGTTTAAAATTCGAAGCACCGGGCTTGCTTTATTTGAAAAACTAACCAGTCTTGAAATTCTTAACACTATCGTGAGGTGATGTCCGAGTACGTTAAGGGGTACTGTCAGGGTAAAAATCTGGCCTCTCTATTTAAGTGCTCAAATCTTGTTGGGATCCGAGATATAGCGTTTCTCATGGTTTTTCTCATATAGCGTGTCTGTTGGTTTCTTACTGGTGTCCAAATATGACTGCTCAAATTCTTATGGCGTTTCTGGTTTGCGTGATTTTTTGAAAAGTTTATGAAGAACTAGCAGAGTTTGAAGTTATGAACCCTTTGTTGAGGATACTGGTATATTACACTGTGGTTGCAAATCTGGTCCCTAAACTTGACTGCTCAATTTCCTCAACTTCCCGAGATATACTGCGACTTTTTATGAGTTTTTCTTTTTGATTTCAAAAAAACTGATATAAAAAAGCTACTTACCGAACTTGAGTTTCTCATTCCTAAGTCTGACGATAATTTCCCATCTTTTCTTTAAGTTTGACTGCTCAAAACTTTTCCGAGACATATATTTTTTTTCAACTGTGATACCAAAAAACTTAACAGAACTTGAAATTCTCATCCCTTTGGTGGGTTGCTGTCATGGTTCACTCAGTGGTTGCAAATCTGGTCTCTTTTAACTGCCAAAGTTTTTCTGGTTTTCAAAATGAGGCGATTTTCATGATTTCATCATTTTTTGTTCAAAAATTTTACCAGAAATTAATTGAGCGCGAATTTTTCCAACTCTGTGGTAGTATGTTGTCAAGGTGTCTTCAGGGGTTGCAAATTTGGAATCCAAATATGATTGCTCAGGCTTCTGGTTTCCGAGAAATTCAGTTTTTTATCTATTTTTTTAAGTTTAAAAAACTTGATGTAAAAAACGAAAGGAACTTGAAATTCTCAACATTATGGTGGATTGCTGTCATGGTAAACTCAGATTTGCAAGTTACCCCTCTAAATAGGGGCGCTTCTTCTAGTCTCCGAGATATGGCATTTTTTTCTTTCATTTCCAAACAATTTCAAATGAAAAAAAAAGCAATTTTGAATTTCTCAATTCTATGATTTGGTGCTGTTCGGGTACAATCGGGGATCTGTCAGGGTTCAAATCTGGCCACTGACTCTTACTGTTCAATTTTTTTTAGTTTCTGAAATATGGCGATTTAAAAAAATGGCAGAATTCGAATTTGTTCCGTTGCTAATTTAAAATTCAAATGTTTTGCTTGGAATGTTTGCCTAGATGGCGCAATTGGTGTCTGCTCAAAAATTGTCGGCTTTGGTTCTGCTTCGTCAGTTTTGTTCCGTTGCTAATTTAAAATTCAATTGTTTTGCTTGGGATGTTTGCCTAGATTGAAATTTTATCGAGACATACGAAAATTTTAGTAGACCTAGTTTTCAATATTTAACGCTTTTTGTACTTCCAATGTTTTTTTTATGTTTGTGTTGTATCACAAGTGATGCGAAGCTCCGCTTCGCCTGTGTAAAACTTGAGTTTCACAACTTTATCTTGGTGTGATGTCCGGATGTGGAACCCAGAAGGTGCAAATTTACCTTTTTCCAAATATGACTTCTTCACTTTTCTGTCTGAGATATGCTGTCATCATTTTTAAAGTCCTTTTGAATGTTTTAAGATTCTCATATTTGATTTATTCCAGTCGTTTTGGCGATATGACCATTTTGGTCAAAAATAGCCTATAAGTTGATTTTCTAAAATATTCGGATCACCCTACAATTTACCCCAAATTTGATTTAGGAGGATAGAAAATATGGATTGTTTAGGAAAAAACTTTGAGCATACATTAGATTTATAGAAAATTATCAGTTTATTTAGGGAGAATTGATTAAAAATACGTTAGTTCAGGCGATTAACAGCATTCAAATGCAATCCCACAGAAAAATTGTGATAACCAATTTTATGTGCGCGTTTGTTCGAAATGCATACATTACAGAATTAATTTTCAAACTGAATACGGGGAAATTTTCGGTTTGTCACTTAGGGGTGAGATTGAACGGTTGATCCAAACATTCATTTAATGAAATAGAAACCCCTGATAGATGAGCTCAGTTTATCGTCATGGTTGCATTGAATTGTGCTGTTTTTGGAAGCTCTTTTTACGTTCAACGATCTATTTGAAGCACCGTGGGTGCGAGTCATGCGCTAGTTATTTTCAAGTCATTTTTTTTCAGTCTAAAGGTTTTTGTCCAGATAACTTCAGATTTGTTGCCGCCGGTTGGCAAGTTTTTTCCGATGCTAATTTTTCCTTCTACTATTTGTGTTCAATTGTTTGTTTAGAAAACTAGTTTTTTCTTTTTGTTAGATCCAGCTTTTTCAACTTTTTTTAAAAAATTTTGTTTTGTTTTCGATTTAGCAGTTTTTTTTGTATTGTGTTTTTGCTCGGCTTCGCATACGCTTGCAAAGTGTACTAGCCTGAATTTGTTTATGTTCATTTTTTCTCTTTTTTAAGCTCTCTTTGGTCTAAGTAGTTGTGGTTTCTTATGTTTTATCGGCTTAGTCGACTTATTTTGCGTCGTTCGGAAGAAATATTGTTTTTTCAACAAAAAATAAAGTCCGTTGTAGTGGAAATTTTCAAAACTTTTTTTATGACAAATTAACTAAAACTAAATCAAGAGTCCTTATCAGCATTAGTGTCAAAATGTTTTTGACTTGATAGCTGGTCGCACAAAATCTCTTCGCATAATCATTTTTGCTTAAAGTTTCCTTGTTCTAGGGAATATCCCACTGACAATGGGACGCCTCTCAGATTTCCAATTGCATCTAGCCAATAGCAAAGCAAAACCAAAAACAGCTTCCAAAGACAAAACCTTTTTTGGAACCAGTCAGCAATTAGCTCGCAGTATTCTTGCAGACTCACAGCCTGATTCAAATGTATTGGACCTATATAGCGACAGTCCAAAAACTATATCACAGTCGGCTGTTAAACCTCCAAGAACTCCTGTTACCAAGACATACAATACAGCTAGGACGCCGAAAGTGACAGCCGTTGATATCTCGTCGCCGAAGCCCTCGCCGATTCTGGTTGAGAAAGTCTCGAGCACTACCTCGCAAAAATACGACGCCAGACAAGATTCGGGGTCCACTGTGAAAGATTTTGGTAAGCTTGATTTAAAAGCGGGCCGTGAAAGCGATGAGTTTGATGAAAATGCGAAACGTCCAAAGTTTTGCGAAAGGATTGAATTAGATATAACCGCTATTAAGTATCCGAGAACAATGTCGACGGATCCATCCACGCAACAAAGTGCTCTGTATAACGAACTTACCAACCTTGGAGATGCCATGCAAGATTTGCACGGATTCGATGTTTCGCAATTATCCTTCACGTCTACTGATGATGTGGTTGGCTTAGGAAGAATAGTTTGCGACGGCGACGGAAAAATGAACCCGAAGTCTATTCTTTTACAAACTCCAACTGGCGACTATTTGACACTAGAAGTTGATAACTGTCCTAATTATGCCCTGTTTCCGGGTCAGATAGTAGCGGTTAGAGGAACAAATCCAGGCGGTGGTCGAGTTTACGTCAAAGAGATTTTTCACGGTGCCAATGCGGCTCCCGTGGTGATAGAACCGCCTGAAGATTCGGGAGCCATGTCGATGTTGATGGCGTCCGGGCCCTTCATACCTAATGATGGAGTGTCCTTACAACCCTTTCAAGATTTAATCAAAACAGTTAGAACCTTGAGACCGAATGTGCTAGTTTTAAGCGGTCCTTTTCTCGACACGAGAAATGAAAAATTGATTCAAATGGAAGAACCTCTAAGTCAGTTATTCGAAGGAATGATGTTAACTTTGAGCAATCTTGCAAATGATCTATCAATGGAAACTGTAATTCTGCCATCACCGCGTGAAATAACACACATCGGCGCTTACCCGATAAGACCTTTTTCGATAACAAAATTTGATGTGAGTAAGAAGCTTCATTTTATGACAGATCCGTGCATGTTTTCTGTAAATGGTTTAGTATTTGGAGTCTCGGCTACCGATTGCGTGTTTCATGTTAGCTTTCAAGAATGTTCTAAACAAACAGGGCAAAAAGATACGATGGACAGAATATCGAGGCTAGTTTCTCACTTTTTACGTCAACAATCATTCTATCCTCTCTACCCGGCTCATAACGATGTATCCTTAGACGTTGATTTGTTACCTCTTGCTCAAATGAGTGTTCAGCCCCATGTTTTGATTATACCTTCGGAACTTTCGCCTTATGTTAAAATGGTGGATGGCTGCTTGGCTGTTAACCCGGGTTCAGTGACTAAAGGTCAAAGCGCAGGCACTTACGGGTTTCTTCAAATTGACTTGGAGAAAGTGAGAAATCAGTCTGTGGTTTCAGAACAGGCAGTATCTTGCAAAGTGATCAAAATGTGAACTAATTGCCAATTAATTATTTTTTGTTTGAACTGACACTATGAGTGAGACGTGTTTTTGTGACTTGTTTGCTTGACTGTTGTTTTCAATATTAAACATTTCAAATTTGTTATTGCTTTAATTCATTTTTCTGACATGAAATTTTTCAATGATGACAATTGAATGAAATGTTTATGCAGCTCGTGGAATCTATTTTCCTTTGCGAGACTTTGACTTCGAAGAACGAACTTTGTCACGTCCGTGTTTGTGTTTTCCCCGAACCTTCCAGAAAATTCCAGAAAAACGTTTTGTCTCTAGCATCGGCTGATCATCGTGGTAAAACCTCCGAGAAATGAAGACACCGATAGGCTCATTCCATCTGGATTGAACGCGATCAAGATATGTGAGCGTACCTCTTGTTATCTGATAGTCTAAAACAGAAATGGCTCTTACATACCGCGTTTAGAATTATCATTGCAATTGTTTCAGTCTGTTAAGTGTGTTGTGATCAACAAGCTTGCAGCGTGTGAAATTTGCCTGTGTTTGCAATTATAGTATAATAGGGCCAATTTTGTGTGGTTTTTGACAGAAAATTGGTTGTATAGGGCAATTTTTGGTTGAAAAAATGTGATAGTACTGCTTAAAATAAAAAAGATGAATTGAACTTGGAAAGCATCAAAGTCAAACCGTAAAAAAACTCAAATTAGAACGTGGACATTTTGCAATTTACTTAAACAAAAAAAATCATCACGAACCATGTAAGTGAAAATCAGGGAAAAGTCTTAAAAGCTATTCAAGCTCAAATTTGATTTTTTTTTTGCGGTTTGACTTATGATTTATTCTCAAGTTCAGTTCATTTTTTTGACAAAAGAAAGTGAAACTCCACTATCGAACAGCAAAAGTGCGAAGTTCACTAAGCACGTGAATGACTCCCAGTTTCAAAAGCGGCTTTTTTCTGAATTACTATTGATCCAGTTTTCTTTAAAGTGATAAGTTTAAGAAAAAATGCAGATCATAAACAATTCTTGAAATTCGATGAACTTTTTGAATATAGGTTTTTCTTTCAAATAGAAATTTGCAAAATATTCAAAGTTTGCAATCAACTTATCTTTTATACTTCTTCAACTATCTGATGGCTGTTAATTTTCCTCAATTTTTGGTTGTGCACGTATTTTTGCTTAGCGGAGGTTATGTTATCCAACTTGAAAGGAAAAAATTAGACGGTGATTTTCCAAACTAAATGAAAGAATGTGTTAAATCAGATTAGGGACGCCGTTTGAGCTATATTTATACTTGCGAAGCAAAGTGTTTTGGTACGAACTTCCTGTTTTTCAACCCAAGTCGCGAATAAAAGTGCTACCCTTTTGAATCGGTAGGCTGCGGTAGCTGATGCATTTTTAAAAGTTAATACAGCGGATTCAATTGTAATTCATCAAATGAAACTAAAAAAATTATTTGTTTCAAACAGCAGTATAATGATAAAAAGCTCGATATCAAAAGTTATCAAACTCAATATATCTCGCAATTTTTTTGAAATGCATAAATTATACAGAATTTGGCGTCATGATTTGCATTTTATTACATGCAAAATTGTGTCTTTTTTGGTGCTACTTTTGCTGCATCGAATTGGCAATTTATTAGCATATATAAGTGCGTTTTTGGTGGCTAGTTTTTGGGTATTTTAAGCCGTGGCTGAGTGATTAGTGCGTGAGACTCAAATTTGCTAGGTCGCAGATTCTAATCCAACGCGTAGCCGAGTTTTTGCTAATTCGAGGCTTATTTCTACTTTTGCTTATTTGACATGATAGAGCTGCTTTTTGGTCGTGTTCTTACAAGTGTTTGCGAAGCACAGCTTCGCCCCTGTTGAAATCTTTGTAATTACGTCAAAAATAACCTGATATTTTAAGTTCAGTTCAAAGTCATTTGTAGAAGGAAGCAAATGACGCTTTCCAATTAAAAAAAATGCCAATGGCATTTAGAAATTTGAATGATATTTTGTTTTGAAGAGTTTTTTCTCAGAATCCGTAGCAGAATACATAAACTAATTTAAAATGTGATGTATATTTCTCCAAAAATTCAATTTCAATAGATTGTTTTTCCTCGGTTTCCTGTAGTTAATTGAAATTGTTTCCCATCTTGATCCTAATTTAGCTCTTGATTGTCCCAAAACTGCTTTCTTGAAGCACTGCTTAGCCTAGTGTTCCATTTCAAGACAGTAAGGAGCTAAATGTGGATCAATAGGGAAGAATGGGCGCTCCTCTCCTAATGCGCCTTCAGAAAAATTTTAAGGTCAGTCAGCCATAAATGGATATCTCAAAATAGTACGAAGAGAGGACCCTTCGGGTCGGCTGAGGGTCGAATCCCTGAGGGAGGAGGTTTCCATCCTCCCTAAATCCGCTGCTGCATACAATTGGGTAGGTTTATCTTTTTAATGTCTCGTCGGCGCTTTTTCCTCCCTCCACTGCAATTTTTCATATTTGAAGTTACTGTTCATTTTGTCCGATTGTCATGAAAATTGACATGCAGACTAATTAGGCCATGACAAACATATTTGGTCTTCATATTAACCTTGTAAAACCGCTCGTTACACCATAAACCTCATGTTTGAGTGAGGTGGGTGTAAAAGGAAAAAGAGCCATCTCGTCTTGAAAAAATAATAGTTCGGAAGTTTTTTACCTAAGATGTTTCTGTGCCACTTACATTGTTACCGGTTACTCTGTATTAAGTAATTTCGAGCCGCAAAATATAATTTCTTTGAAAATGTTTATTTTTGGTCTATTGACTTTTGTGATTTATTCAGTATTAATAGTGAAATATATAATATAATTAAATTATACTGTTTTTAAGTTTCGTAAATTAGGCCTAAAGTTAAACATTTAATTTGAACAGCAATTATCAAGTCAATACCTTGGTTAAACCTTTGTTGTGACGATCTGGCTAGGACACCGCAACACATGCATCCCATCAAAATAATAAGCAACAAGCTCGAAGTTGACGTTCGACACGAAACTATTTGATAACTTTTGGCGCCCATTATAAACAATATTTAGTGTCTTATGAAATATGATGAATGAAGAATAAATTGGTTACTTCATAGTTACAGCAATTTTTTTAGCTATTGCTTCTCTAAAACTGGAGGCGTAATAATATACGAAATGATTAAAAAGAACGCCAAATCTATCGAGGTGATACTTCTCTTTTTTACTTCTCAAATATTTATCTTTCTCTAAGTTATACTTATTTGATCACCTGTTCTCGTTGTAATTGAGCTTATGTAGCACTTAGCCGGGATGAAAATTTTGCTTTCAAGCTAAAATTATCACATTTGAGTTACGCTTGTCCATTTAATTGCTTTTCAATTTTTCTTCCCACCTTTTTTGGGCAAAATTTTACCGAGATCAATTAAGCGAATCGTTGTCTAGCATAAAGTCACTAGTGAGTATTGTGATCATTCGCATTGCTTAAAAATCTAAAAGACGCAAAAAAAAGTTATCAAGAAAAAGTATTAACAGGAAGCAAGTTGTCCATTGTTGATTTAACTTGCAGGCTGGCGTGCTGCATTATTAACGATTGGTTGAATGTCCGAGAAAACTGTATTGGTCAAAATATAGCCTGTTAGCAATCGACTGCTTGTCTTTCATTTAGCAATCATGTTTTTGTTCATACTTCAAAATGTACTGCTTTAGTTGACACAGTAGCGGATTTAGGGCAAAAGCTGCCCCGAAATAGCACTTGTCTTTTTTTTTCATTTTCATTAATTTCCTTAGAGCGCACTAATTTTTGTAAGAATTCGGAAAATCTTTTCACGATTGAGTATGTGAAAAAAATCCTCGTACGATATAAGATTATACGATAGACCAGATTTGCACAATAAATTCTACAATTATTCTAACAAATTGGTAATTTTTTTTGCGATTTTTTTTAAAATTGATAATTTTTTAAGTTTGGAGTATTACAGGGTTGACTGATATTAGAGGCAATTCAAGTCCAGCTAAACGCTTTTCTGGATGATATCTGGAAATTTCGTAAAAATAAAATCAAACAAAAAACAGTCAAATTTAGACCGATGCTGTAATTAAGTTGGTGTATTGATCCCAAGTTATTACCCTTGCGATAAGCAAGGGTATTGAAACTGGGAACTATAAGGTTTTCACGTCGTGTCTGTATTAAATTATAATCAGATGTTTCTTTTCTTTTCAATTTTCGCATTTATTCCACATTGCCAAAGAATAAAATTTTTCCAAGTTCAATTATTTTCCTTGATTTTTCAAAATTGAGCTAGAGTCGATTTGAAACCGGCAAAATAATGAATACATACAAGGTGTTGATTTTTCTTTTCGCTCCGCCCAACCCTCTAAGGTTGAACCCTTTGTTGTACCCTAGATATACCCGTTATCATATTTACCCAAATTTCAACTTTTTTTCGGAAAATTGGAAAAATTTTCGTGCCGCCGGAGATTCGATCCTTTGATCTCTAGAGTTTGAGACGAACGCTTTAACCACTATACCATGAGGCCTTTGTTTTTCATCCGAATTATTGTTCCAACTTTGGCTCTTTGATCTTTAATTGCCCCTGTTTGAGTTTTCAAAGCGTAGATCAATTCTGTCGGCGCGAAAAGATCAAGGTCAAGAAATTCAACTGGTTTTGGACTGTTTTGTATCGGACTGTTTTTTAGAACCTTTTTTGATGTTTCGGACTCTTTTGTATGGGACTGTTTTGTATATGCACCTTTCACGTAACTAAATCTGTTCACAGAATGAACAATTGGTTACCAGTATATTTTATATCCACTGAATAGCATGGCTAATTTACCTAAATTAGGTACGGAGGTCGATCGGCTTTAATTACACCGTTTTTTGTTCCTTTTGTTTTTTTTCTAATAATTTAAAAAGTTAATAAATTTTTTCAGAAAATTATTTTTCTGCTTTTTTGTTTGCTTATTGCCCTTCACTTTTATTTTCGCTACTTGACTTTTTCCCGTAAAAAATTCTGTTCCCAGGATCTTCACTTCTTCTAAAGGATCTTCTTCTTTCCGTTACGTCTCGTTCGAGACCTGGATGCCTCCTCCGGAACTAGTCAGGTCCTCAAGGCCCAACTAGTATGTCCTCCATTGGACTTATCAGTGGACAGCCTCTGGAGAGCCCGATAGAATTCCTTGGCCAACATGATCTGTGCCTTGGGCCCGGATTGGTCACTAACGCCTGCACTTTTCCCCAGCAGTCGGCTATTCTGCTTGGGTTGAAGGTGGAGGTCTGCCCGACGGTGTTGCTTACGCTAAAAACACCGCCGGGCCCGAGTCCCCCCCTGGTCTTCAAGTTGAAAATGATGAAGACTAAACTTGCTCAAAGTTTCAGCAGATTTGTTATGGTATTTTGGTGTATTTGTTTTGCGAAAATTGGGTCCAAAATTTTAACGCAAAACCGATCAATTATCGCGTTTTTATTCAATCACAAATTAACCGAAAATTGCTGGTTCAATAAGTGAAAAAGCTTCATCAAAGTGAGTTTCTTACGTAGCGCAACAAAGTTTAGAAAGGGTATAATCTCAAAAAAATTAAGCTGAGTAAAATTTTCGCATTTATTTTTCGCTGAGTAAAATTTTCGCATGAGTAAAAATCTCAAATGTTGTTAAAAAACTGTTTTCAAATAAAACATTTGTGTGTTATATAGTAACAACGACTTGTTTTGGATATCAAACAAAAACAATTTACCTTATTTTTTGGATAATTTACTCTTCCTACACTTTGCTGGGCCACCTAAGAGGCTCACTTCGAAATAATTTAGTTAGTGATCAACTTGGCAGTTCTGGCGTAATTTCTGATTGACTAAAAAAACCTAAAATGATCCATTTTTGGATTAAACTTTCTTTTGGGCCCAAGTTTCGTAAATTAAATTGCACCATATTAGTTTAGCTGAAATTCTCAGCATGTTTTTTCTTCATCATGATGAACCTAAGTCTAACTAATTTGAAAAAAGCGCGTTTTAAACTTCAAGTTTTATGCGTTGTGTCCGGATAATTTAAAACATCATTGTACATGAGACAGAAAACATGTTATTATGTGATGTAATATTCGGATTAATGTTTTTTCTTTTGGGCCCAAATTTCGTAAAACAAATTGCACCATATTAGTTCAGCTGAAATTCTCAACATGTTTTTTCTTCATCATGATGAACCTAAGTCTAACTAATTTGAAAAAAGCGCGTTTTAAACTTCAAGTTTTATGCGTTGCGTCCGGATAATTTAAAACATCGTTGTACATGAGACAGAATACATGTTATTATGTCATGTAATATTCGGATGAATGTTTTTTCTTTTGGGCCCAAATTTCGTAAAACAAATTGCACCATATTAGTTTAGCTGAAATTCTCAGCATGTTTTTTCTTCATCATGATGAACCTAAGTCTAACTAATTTGAAAAAAAGCGCGTTTCAAACTTCAAGTTTTATGCGTTGCGTCAGGATAATTTAAAACAGCGTTGTACATGAGACAGAAAACATGCTATTATGTCATGTAATATTCGGATTCAACAAGAATTAATCATTTAAAAAAATTGATAGTCAATTCAATTTGGTAGAAAATTCCTCCAAATCTTCCAAATGTAAATTAAATAAATATTTCATAGCGATGGAAAAATCCAAATTAAGCTGGGGAAATGTCAGAGATACTTTCAGAAATTACGAACTAGTGTGATCTTATTTACTCATCAAGTCATCACATTTAGGTGTCACAGCTTAAACAAATATGCAAAATCAGCGAAATGGACTAAAAGCGTCCATTGTGACGTTTTGTTTATCGGTCCTGTTTCTTACTACAGTTTATGCTAAGAATATTTTCCAACTTTCTTCTAGCCTTAAAGAACCTAAATCGTTTGCCAAGAGCTTAGATTCTCTTATTGTTAATGGCGATAATGCAACCGGCAGTAGAAATTTTTATGTTTCAATGCGAATTGGAGGTGTTTATTACATTCGATGTGGGGGAAGTATAATATCTTCTTATTGGTTGATTACAGCAGCCCATTGCATCAATCGCTTTCCTCGTACGATAATTTTTGTAATTATTGTATTTTTCAGAAAACATTAACTTGAAAAATGAGGCTTATTTTCTTTCAGCGAATGACACATTTGTTGTTCTTGGCGATTTCACAGATAAGAAATCAAAGAAAAAGAAAGTTGGCGTGGAAAAGTTGATACCACATAAGAGGTATTTATCTCGTAATTTTTCCGAATTATTTTAACTCTTGCGATAAGCAAGGGTATTTCAATCGGGCATTAAACTTTTTGTTCTTAAAACCTTAAGATCTTTGTTCACATAATGGACGAATTGGTAATCATTTTGGATCAACCGTACAATCTCCATCCGCCCCCCCCCCCCTTTCCCCCCCTAAGTGACCTACGACCTACCGTAGAATGCCCTCCCCAACCATGCTTTAAATCTGAAAATTGATTCTGTATAAAATATGCATTTCATGAAATCAAACAAAATAAATTGGCTCTTCTATTTTTGTAGGCGTGATTTCATTTGTATGCTGTTAATTGTTTAAACTAATGTTTCGATTCAATTTTTTTCGGTAAAAAGGTTAACTTTGAATAATTCCCCCGGGTTGACCAAAAATGCTAGTCATACAATTTCCATATATGGAAAAATGCTAGTCATACACTTTCCATGCATTTCCATACGTACAGAAAATTGCATGAAAGGTCTATGATTAGTATTTTTTCATATATGGAAGTTGTATGATTAGCATTTTTTTGACAAAAAAGTTTTCTTTTTTATTTAGTACGATACGCCAAAATTTATGCCAAAACAAGAGAAAAGTTCTTCGAAAATTCGATGACACCATTTTAGCAAAATGTATGAAATTTGTATGATTAGTATTCTTTCATAGACTTAGTTTATGGAATTGTATGATTAGCATTTTTGGTCTATGGAGGTCAACCCGGGCCAGGCTATTGTCAAAGTTGGCTCATAAAAAATTGATATTTTCTCCCCCCTAATCCGATTTAGGGGGGAAATTGTACGGTTGATCCATCATTTCAATAACACCATATTTAGTGTATTGTGTAATATTTGCATACTCGGTATGGGCTTTGGGGGCCTGTTGAATTTTTTTTCAAGAGTATTTTTGTGTCGAGTTTTTTTTGCTAAAATTTCGACGCTGGAAGAAGTCGGCTTTAATTCCGTCGGCTTCTTTTACAATTTTTTTTATCGATTAACTTTCTTCTTTATCATATGGGAGTGTTTGAATTATTATATCAAATTTTAGAAGGGTTTAAATCAACCTCCCAAACTCCTAAAACGTGATAATGACAAACATTTTTTTTGAAAATATCAGTTTCACTCCGACTCCAAAATTGCCAGACTAGTTTTTGTTTTAATGTATCATATTGAATTGCTGTCTGCAATTTTTCCTGATACTTTTGTAGTATTCCTTTAGCTCTACAGTTTCTTTGAGTTAAAAGAGTAACAAATTACCTTTTCTGTTGTCAATTTTTGTAACAAAAAGCTTTCTATTAATTTAAAATATTATTTTCTATTTATTCTACGATGATAATATTGATACATTGCCGGAATCATTCTTTCTAAAATGTATCACTGGCAAGCATTTCAATTACGCTTGTTTTTTGTCTGATCGGAGTTTTTTGGAAATAAAATTAGCGTTTTTTGGCATCAGAATTTTTTGAAATCATTCGATTGTTTTTAGCCAGTGTCTCTTTCTTGTTTTTTCCCTCATTGTTTGGTTCAACTTTTTGAGCAACCTTTTTATACAAGAAGAATAAGTATCAAGAATTTGAGCTTCTTTTTTGATTTTGAAATTTACCATTTTCAATAATTTGGTGATTTAAGAATTTTTTCAGATGTTTTTTTTTTCAAGTGTGTTGTTCTTTTAATATTATTTGTGTTGGTTCTTGGCTGTTTACTAATGGTTTCATCGCGTGCCTTCTGTATAACATGCAGGTTTAAAACATCAATTGGAGCCAAACTGATATTGTAGTTTGTTTATTTTTCAAAAATGTTTTGCGAAAAGTTTCCAATTTGATTTCTTTAAACTTTTTTCCTGGACATACATTTTTTTCCTACGCAAGTGGTGCGAAGCTTTGCTGCGCCTCTCTGTATGTTTGTTGCCTTCAGTGTTTTTGCTTTTGCAATTTGAATTATAATTTATAGTTTCAATCTGCGCTGCACTTTTTATAAATAATTGCATACTGTCTCTTACCGTCAATTGTATTTTAGTTTTGAAAGTTAAATTTCACCGATTTCATTTCAAAAGTTATAGGTATCCAGCCTACCGTCCTCTCTTTGACATCGGTCTGGTCAAACTAGAAAAACCAGTGCCTCGATGGTCTTTCCAAATTCCCCTGTGTTCCTCAAAACCTCCGAGGGGAAGAATTTTAGGCACATGTGGATTGGGATCTACAGTTTATGAGACAACCGAAAGGTTAGAATTATTTCCGGAAATAGCAAGAGTAGCTGGTTGATATTCAAGTCGCGCAGAATGCTCCGACCACAGTTTTCCTTATTACGCTAGCGAGAAGCTAGCATTTTAGCATGAACCTTTTTTTAAACCTAACTTGCAAATAAAAAGATCATTAAAACTAAAAGTGTTCACTTGTCTTACTTTTTGCTAAAATCACGATCTGTATAATTGGAAATTTCATAGCATTTGTTCTTGGCTTTGTTTGTGGCTAATGTTAGGGATAGATTAAGTGCCCGTGGCTGTGGTTAGTTGGTGAGATTTAATTTTTGAGGTTGCAGTAGGTCGTAGGTTCAAGTCCGATACGTCGGCGCATTTTTACTAATTCAAGAAATAATTGTATTGCACTTTTCAGATCTCTAGAGCTGCTTTTTGTCGTGTTCTCACTAGTGTTTGCGATGCGCAGCTTCGCTTCTCTGTAAAATCATGAACAAGCAAAATATGTACGAATTGCGAGTTTTTTTGTATCAAGGTGTCGAGGAAATAATCGAAACTAGAAAGTTTAAACTAGTTTTTTTTTCTGATAAACAGGCTACTTTAAGGTAGGTTTGTTACTGCTTTTCAATGACACCTAATTGTTTCTAAATGTAAAAAGAATTGATTCTCTTGAAATAAGCACAATCTTATTTTCAAAGAAACGATGAAAACTTTTTTTTCTTCATTTTTAGACATTGTTTGTCTGCTAAAAAGACACTGCGGGAACAGGTGTGCCAAAAAAAATCGATTCGCATTGAGACAGTCCGTTTTTTGAGTGAATTGCGCGTTCCTGCCGTGTATGCCTATGCAATAGCATGTCTAAAAAATTCAAAATGATTGACTGATAATCAGGTTTTGTTCTTTTTAAATCAAAGGTGGGAAAATCCAATGTATCTCAGGTAGTGACGTGTGTTTTTTCCCGCTAATTATACGCCAATTTTTACCCGCCAGTTTTGTAAAACTGGTCTTTTGTATGAAGGTTCTAAACCAAAACTGAAAATTGATCATTGTTTCCATCTGTTGAAAATGGATCAAATACCTTCGCTTTCAATAAATTTTTTACCACTTTTGATTTTGTCGCTCTTTGTTTGCTCTTTTTTGACCCTCTTGGTACTTGCCGCTCTTTTTTCCGCCAAAAATATACTTAATTGCATTTCATATTACTTCAGAGTTACATCCTGTGCTACTTGCGCAGTAACCGGCTATCCTTGTTTTTTATTGAATTGGTGTAGAATTTTTTCTGATTCTTTCGTGTGTTTTGTCGACAACATTGATGATCAAATTTCCATGTTTTGAGAAACTGTCCAACCCAAGTTTCTAATGGTGATTTGGAAAATAATTAATTCAGTTTGAAGTACAGAAACAAAACGTTACAGAGTTTTAAGGCTTCTGATTCACATGAGCTTAATGCGCTTTTCTAAATGAAGATTATTATGCGTTAACATGCGGTATTATGCGCCGCATAAAAAGACCGAAAGCCATGCTCGAGCCGAACAAAAACTCAGCGCCGACGAGAGGCTCAAGCGTTGTTAACTTGCCAATCCCGTGTTTGAAATCTACAGGCATTAAAGAAAATTAAAGAAGTTTTGCTCTAGTTGCGCATGCTAATCATAATGCCCCTGTAAGTAAACCCTAAAAGAAAACCCTGCTTGTAAAAATTAAGCCTCTTTACTGAGCCCAAACAATATTGTACCAATATTGCACATCTTCGGCTACGTTTTCATCACCCATTCTTGTTTGAAGACCGGAGGTGCTTCAGGAGGCATTTTTGTGGGAGAAGCAGCAGAGAATGTGGCTCACAGGACTGAGGTATTCAAAAATTAATATTTTTGAAATTTTCGTTTTACAATAGTTGACAAATTAGTTCTTCAACAAATTACAAATCATAGGAAGCTTACTTATTTTTATTGACCAAATTGTAAAAAAAATGAATGTTTCACACTATTCGCTCGAACATTAATCTTCCCAATGATTAAAAATTCATTTCTCTTATAGTTTTCGAATTATTTTTTTAACGAATGAGACTCTCCTATTTCAAATCATAAGAAGTGAATTTATTGTCATCGACAGAACAAATCTTAGAAAAATACTTGTGTCTCAAAGTTCATTATCTTCGAAATGATTTAAAAATCTTTTTAGTCATATTTTTTATCATAAATAGGTGTCCAGATCAGACCATTTGTGCAGAGGACATCATAATGGACACCAAATTAGGATCAGGCGACAGCGGGTCCCCTCTCTACGTGATGAGTGATGACTTCGCCTGTGCTTTGGGCGAGGGGGTGCAATGTTTGTTGGGAGTGACAACTCACAGACGCAAAATGCTCTTCGAAGATGACTCATTTCAGTTTGAAATGTACTTTGCAAGCATTCCTTATTTTCACAAATGGATCACAAAAAACATTCTGCAGAACTCATACTAGTTATTTGTGTTGTATGCAATAGATCGTTAAACTATTGTGGTATAAAAAAATTTTGATGCTGAAAAAGATTTAAAAAGTTTTATGGTTGTTTTTCTGAAACAAGGCAAAGCAAAAGAAGATAAATAAGTGCGGGGTGAACGGCTAATGCCCAACTTGCCGAAAACTCGGTCTTATAAAATGCATAAGATAATTAGGTAGCTCTCTCATTAGTAAGTTCTTTTTTTGTTCCACTGTCGGCTTCAACAGTAGCAGAAGTTGTAACCCCTTTTTGGTAACCTAGCATAGTGGTAAGGCATCTACTTCGAGATCGTCAGATCGTGTACTCGATCCCCTGCCATGGCAATGATAGTGTGAGAGTACGAGCTCAAAATTGATCTCTATCTGCAGATCTACCACAAGCTGATCGATTTCGGCTGCAATAGTGGTACCACGTGACAGTTCTAGATGGCATTCCATACCTTTCATGGATCCTCTGCGAATCACAGAAACCAAAATTATTGTTCCAACTTTTGTAACGAAAGTAACGGAATATTTGTGCTCGGGTGGGTTTTTTCTTCGGACAAATTTCGATTTTTTTAACCGGCCAATTTTAAGGGATTTTTATATAAATATCATTCAAAAGATATCGTTGTTCTGAGGTTAAATTTGAAAAGATACTTCACCTGTGAGTATTTTTGGTAAAGTTAAGGGGTTTAAAGATTGCCATTTTGGCCAATTTGCGAAATTTAATGCGCGATATATTTCGAGCTATTAACGCGTAAGCGGAGGTTTTATTCGTCTTAGAAATCGTTCCAAATTGGTTAAAAGAAGCTCATTTGAATTTATATATTTCTTAAAAGGAGCGAAAGCTATGCTTTTGTACTTTATATGGCGTGTGGGGAAATGATTTCACAAAAAAAAACCTCAAATTAAAACAAAAATATTTAATTTTACATTACGAGGCCAAACTGTACATTCTGTGCATTGTAAACGGATTCCGCGACAGACCAGAATCAGATTTGTGGCGGAGACCGCAACATTTCTACTTTTTTGCTCTTCTTTGCTGCTTTGGATTCCACAAACAAATACTTAAAACATTGTACCGCTCACAATCGCTCCAAAATTAGGCAAGTTTGCGGAGTCTGCAATTGTTTTTGCGGAATCCAGAAAAATTTGTGGAATCTACAAATGAAAAATAAGATATACGTATTGTTACAATGAGCTGATGCGGAATCCGCAAATTGTAAGTGGAATCCGCATTTTGTTTGCGGATTCCACTTATATTTTCGGATTCAACTTCGTTTTGCGGATTTTACTTACATTTTGCGAAATCCGCAACATATTTGCTTGTTGCGGAATCCACAACTAAACAATTGTGACGACAAAATTTACGTTACAGCAAATTTAACGCGGAATCCACAAAACTTTTGTAAAAGGAATCCACTTACTTTTTGGAGCATGTTTAAAAATTTGTCCTTGGAATCCAGGAACATACAGACACAAAATTGTGCGCCTATCCAGTGCACAGTTTGACCTCGTAATGTATTACATTTAATTTTTGTATGTTATTACTGCTCCATAGACCTTAAAAGGCAGTCAGAACATTCAGGGCTTCGCCCTGATACGAGCAGTCTTGATATGATTATTATTATTTATTATTATTGCTTTTTAGTGTGATGGTGGTATATTACTTTTCAGCTCACTGCTCCTAAGCTTTGTTTAATTTGATGTACCAACAGATCGCCGATAATGATACTCTAAGAGCATTACTTAATATAACGATTGAGTCAGTGTTGAACTACATCAACCGTTAAGTATGTGGCTAATTTTTTATTGTTTCAAGTAATTTTACGTTTTTTCAATCACTACTCTTTCTTCCTTTGCTAGAAGTATTTTAGTTCGATTTCTATGAATGGTAACCAACTAAATAATGTTTTCGTTTGGCTCGCTTTTATTTTGTATGCCTTCAAGAAAAATGATCATTTGCTAGGCTATGATAATGATATGGAAAGATTCCGAATCGATCATGAAATGAGATCGAGCAGAAAAACAACCAAAAAATCTTTGTGAATCTCGAAAAAAAACTGCAATAAATTTCGGCTTTCAAAAAAATGTAGAAAGTGCCTACAAAACGTACTATTTGTATAATGCGTCACGAGGAATCTAATTTGGTGCTCACAAAAACGACGCATTGCGCACAAACTCAAAACTGCAGCGTTTTCGAAACCCTAACAAAACTGTGTAAGTTGGTTGTCATATGGCAAAACGGTACTCGATAGAATTTGGAACTATGTTCAGACTCTGAGTACTGCGAAGCGCAAATATGCCTGATAGTACTGATTTTTATCTTAGATATGTAAGTTTAAGGGTCATTAAAGAATATGCAAACGGCTTTCCAACATCATTTCCAATTTCTACAGCTAGCTTTTGCGGTCAACACGCTGGGTAAATCTAGACCCTCCAGATCAAAATAAAGGAGGTTTTTACAACCAGTTAAATACGATACAGGTTAAATACGATCCAGGCTCATACAACAGTAAATCAAAGCTATTTTACTGAAACAAGTATGATACACTATATCCATAGCGATATGGGAATGGCATTGGTATTATGCTAGAAGGTTACAAAAATCAAAATGGATTTTTATTGGAACTTTGGCGTCCTAATTGAGCGAAAAAAAAGACATTGAAAGTAATTTGAACCAATTAAATAGATTGTATTGTTTTTCTGCGAGATTTGATCACCTCAACAGTCCTCGTAGGTGATCATTTAGGGCAGTGGCGTGCGCAGAAGTTTTTCTAGGGGGGTGTGGGTGGGGCGGTTTTCAAAAAAAATTGAAAATTTCCGACCTTTTTTTGGGCCGACCAATTTGATTTTCAGAGCGCTCTCCCAAAACACTACAACGACCCTATTTTTTCGAAAAGTTTTGTGCGCCGCAGGCAAATTTTTCAGGAAATCATGCCAAAAAAGGCGTTTTTAGGCACTTTAACCCCTCAGAATTAGTCATATTGGCGCCAAAGGCAACTTTAGAAGAATTTTGATGTTGTTCAGCGAAAAATGGATGTCATGAAGATACCGAAGGGGGCACTTTGTGGGGGGAAAAATGTGGTAACCTGCTTTGAGGGGGAAGGGCGGTCGCAGTCAAATCACTGAGAAAAAATGTGTCCTCCCCTAAATACGCTACATCCATATATATACATTTAGAAAATCAATTCAAAGCCATTGGTATTCGTGATATTATCTTAAATGTTGCTTGTCTTTCAAAGCTAGTTTCTAAAGTTTGAACTAAGTTTAGCTTCGAAAATCTTCTGAATGTTTTACTTTTTGGAGCAGCGTTTGGATGGCCACTAAAAGAAATATGAACGTCATACAAACGTCAATAAAACCGAAGGCTGCTAGTACTTTCTTTTTGATTTAAATACATAATTTGAATAATGGTATAGCTGAAAACACTGTACAACATAACGCTAACTTTTAAAATGTTGTTAATTATTCTTCTCACCATTGTTTGCTCAGGTAAGAACACTTTTTATCACCAGTTTACCTTGAAGTTCCTCTAACACTGAGGTTTCGTCTCTTGTAAGCCGGAAATTCCTGAGCCGGAAAGCCAGATATTCATTATCGTTCTCTTTAATCTTTCGGAGTTTATAGCCAATTTTTGTTTAATTTTTTGGAGAATAAACAGACTATTTATAGCAATTAAACTTGATTTCAGTATGCAGCCAGAATATGGATGCAAATATCACTAAGTTTGTCGAAAAGTATCTTCCACTGACTCATCGACCAGGCATTGTCTCGGACATTGTGTATGTGTTTGCTGACATCTACAACATCATAGACGTGGTAGGAAAATATGCGCTGTTTCTCAAGTTTTATTAGTGATCAGTTTGAGATCCATCACTTAATCAGTAATTTTCAATATATGCCAAACTGTAGGTAAAAATTTTTTCGGAAAAGTAGTTTTGAAGAAACTTGATTAACTTCTCGCACTCAAGTATCATGATTAATAATCGATTACTTTGCATTTTCATAGTCTGCTTCTCTGAAATTCGAAAACAATCGATTATAATAAATTACAAATAGATTATACGATGTGCTGATTTAAACTAACCGGACAAAACACGTTAAACTTGAAATTTAAAACGCATTTTTCTCAAATTGGGTTGAGTTTAGGTGAAAACTTATGAAGACAAAACTCGCTTAAAATTTTAGCAGAATTAAAATGGTGTAATTTATTTTGCAAAAAAAGGGCCCAAAATTTTACCCCAAAAAAGGGTCATTTTGGTTTTTCTTAGTTAATCAAAAATTACGCCGAAAATACCCAGTCGATCACAGACATAATTATAGTAAAATGAGCCCCTTACGTAGCCCAACAAACTTTATGAAGGGTATTTTCTCCAAAATATTGTATAAATTAATTTATTTTTGTTTGATAGACAAAAAAGGTCATTTTTACATTATATAAAATACCAACTTTTTATTTAAAAACAATTTTTAATCAATTTGCATTTTTTTTTGGAGAAAATACCCTTCTTAAAATTTTTTGGGCTACGTAAGGGGCTCAATTTGATATAATTATGTCTGTGATCGACTGGGATTTTTTGGCGTAATTTTTGATTAACTAAGAAAAGCCAAAATGACCAACTTTTGGGGTAAAATTTTGGGCCCGAAATTCGCAAAACAAATTACACCATATTAAATCTGCTAAAATTTTAAGCAAGTTTTGTCTTCATAAGTTTTCACATAAACTCAACCCAATTTGAGAAAAATGCATTTAAAATTTCAAGTTTAACGCGTTTTGTCCGGTTAATTTAAATCAGCACTGTATTCTTAATTTTGTTCGAAACAATTAAATCTTATTTTAATCAATTGTAATCGGGTATTTTCGAGTTAATTTCAAAAAAAATGCATCGAAAGAAACAACCCATTATAATCAATTATAATAGATTAATTTTCAATTTTGAAAAATCTTCCGTGTGCTGATTCTATGTTTATAATAAATTTGAACTTAAGTTATTTCGTAGTTTGCTTAATTTGCCTTTTTTTAAATTCCAATCGCGTTTTATAATAAGTTGCGCACGGATTTCTTTTATTCCTTTATTTAGTTGTTTTTTGCAAACCCTGCCATTTTAATATATCCCCCCACGTTTAATCCCTACCCAAAAGTTATCTATGTGGGTGGGTGTGTGGGGTTTTTGTGGTTCTGGGGGCGGGCTGTTTGATGAAGATGTTTGTGAGGGCTGGGGGTCAACGAGGATGGGGTAGTTGTAAAATGGGGGACGTGGTGAGGGAGGGGGGGGGCTACCCCTTGGCTAGAAACATAAATGTATTCGTTCGCGCTTGAGTTTTGCAGAACGCTGCAAAAAAAATAGAAAATTAAAAAGTTACAAAAAAAATAATCGATATTACTGAAAACAAAATTGGATTTTAATCAATTATGATGAATTATTTTAGATTTTGATGTTTGAAAATAATCGATCATAATGGATTTAAAATCTATAACGCTATCTAATTTTGCCATGATAATCGATCAAATATAGACAACATTTCAGTCAACAATAACCCATTAAAATTGATTTTTAACCATGAACAATTGGTGCAGGTTAGAACTAATCATTTTGATTACCAAATTTAAATTCGAAGTTCTAAAAAACTCAATTTCAAACAGACCGAAATAAGTATTAGAAGCAATCTGGCAAGCTTGAACCATTTTTTGCTTGAAATTTCAGTCAAATTGGACAAAATTATAGTTGGAAAAACAATTTTCGAGTTTTTTTAATAACGGCATTGGCTCGTTTTAGACCCCTAGACAACAAAATGTGGCATGTTTTGAAAACTTGTTACTTCATTGAAGTAAACAGTTTTGGTTGTGGGTTTTTTTTGGTTTTGTGGTTAGCGCGGGATTCGCACCAAATCTCTTAGGCTGAGACATTATTTTTACCAGTACTCGATAGGTTCAAAAATTTGTTTCCACGCAAAAATCATGCAACAATCTTGATAGTTGTCCGTGTTTTGATCAAAGGGAAAAAAATAGTCTGTAGTTATTCTCCAAATTCAATGTTTTATTCAGCAGGTGGTTGATAACATTTTGCATGATACCCATTGGCGCAAAATAGTTTTTAAGGAAAAGAACCCGTTGAAATAAGCAATTTTTATAGTCAAACTCCTTCATATTTTTTTAAGAAAAAAATGCAATTTTTACCCGCGGCGCCGAAGTTATTCTTAGCAGAAAATCAAATTTTGCCCAATGCAAAAGCCATATCGTTAAAATTTGCGCTTCCTATAGCGAAATCGTCGAGCTGCACTTTTGCTTTGTTCGCGGGAAGTGAAAATTGCTTTGGTTTCAGAAAAAAATAAATCGAACCATGCTTCATATTTGTTTGATTTCAAAGATTGATTGTACGTTTTTATCCCTCAGTTTAATTTGAGAAAAAAATATATACAGTGTGTTTTCAAATTAATTTTTTTTACTAAATCCTCTTTCATTTCACGAATATTTGGGTCATTGAAAGGATTTATTTTTCTTTAGGCCGAAAATGTTTGCTAAATTCTGATGATGTAGTTCATTGAGTTGGATTGTTTTTGTTGCGCATGTTAGCGCGATTTAATGAGATTTCACCACTTTTTGAGCTGAACAAATTACTGTAGCGCTGAATGAAAACAACAGTATAAAATGAACTAAAACATAATTTTCTAATTAGTTTTTCTCAAATTGGGTTATACTTGGTCAAAATGATGAGGATAAAGAACACTTGGTGTTTTACCAGCTTTTTGATGATGCAAATCTTAATGCAAAAACCAAAACTACAACCCTCAAAACTGGTCATGGTCAGTTTATTTGGTTCAAAAATAAGGAGATAAACCAGGTCAATTATAGTAATTCTTACATACATCAGTTTACCCTGTTTGCTGCCATAATTTCGAACCAAATGAATTGACCCGTTTTAAGGGTGTAAGTTGTATTTTATTTTTTTTTGCAACAAATTCGCACCATAAAAAAACTGGTAACAAAATTGGTCATTTTTCGGCCAAATAAATCGCAATTTGAGAAAATCGAGTTCAATTTGAGAAAAATCTGTTTTAGTCCAGTTTATCCGGTAGGTTTCATGCAGCACTACAGTAACTTGATCAGCACGAAAAGCTGCAAAAGTTCATTGAATCGCGCTAACATGCGTGAACAAAAATCAATTCAACTCAATGAACTACATTACCAAAACTCGGCGAGTTTGTTCTGCCTGCCGGAAAAAAAATCACTTCAATAACTCAAATATTCGTGAATTAAGAGAAGATTCATTTTAAAAAACGAGTTTTGAAAACACCCTAAAGTCTTCGAAACTTTTGAATACAGCGTTTTTGTACAGACCACGTCACAACACAAAAGGACTGGAAGAAACTATCGCATAGGGTTCGTTTTTTGACAATCTCAATGAAAACTATTGATAGAGCTGGGTGTATGGGGTCGGGGTTAACGTTTGTATCATATCACAGCCCTTCAGGTTGAGAAATTCATTTCAAAAAATATCAATAAAGGCTGCTTCAGTGTCGAGCAACTTTTGTCTGAGCTTTTCAGTTTTCAGACCAAATTACTACTTTTTGATGAGAAACTGAGTGACTAAATTTTCTATCACAGTTTTGAATTTAACTTAGCTTTTATTAATTCTTGTTTTTGCAGTGTTTTCAATTTTATTGCCTTTTGCCAAAAACAAATCCAAAAACAGAAACTTTTTTTAGCTACTTCATATTGTATTGAGTTTGTTCCATATTTTTTGATAATCTCATTGTTGTCGAAAAATTTTGTGCTTGCTTATCAATTGTCTATACTTATTAATTATCCTGATAAAAATTGAAAGTCTAAGAATTACTTCAATCCTATACTGATTTTTCCAATTTTTCAGCCATTAATAATCATTTTTGATGCAAAACCCAAACGACAAAAAACGTGCAAAATAACAAAAGTAGGGTTAAAATATTTTAAAAGGTTTTTGATTTTTGAAAAATGATAACAGTGGATGCAATATTCATTGCAACTAATCTTTTTAGAACGAAAGGGAGGAGACAATAACAACTAAACTGTGGCTCTATGTGGGATATGTTTTGGGTGTCGACCGTCGAGATTGGGACGATTACTTCCCAGAGTTGTACGAGTTCTATCCTGGATCAGACAGCGTTTGGCTTCCTGATATTGTTGTTCTTAACGGGTAAGACTGTCAATCTTTCCGATGATTGTTGGTTCTTGGGGCACAAATTTTTTGAAAAAACCGGCAGTTAATCCAGATATGACTAATATTAAGTAATAATAAGAAACAAACTGAAAAGTTTTTCTAAAATGTTTTTCTAAAATGTTCCCAATCTCGTCAGGTTTTGGGTTTATTGTCAGATAAAATTCTGAGAAAAATTCACATGGTTTCAAAAAACGGACAGTTTATTCTTATTGCTGTAGCTTGAAGAAGGTAAGCAGCTCATTCAAGGATCCAGTGGTGATGCGGCTCTACGACTGCAATGGAACTGCACCATACGATGCCTGTCCGGTCAATCCCGACGGAATACTAGTCGTGTTCCCGTTGGCCCTAACTCAGAAGACGACCTGCACTTTTGATGTCACTGATTTCCCATTTGACACACAGTACTGTAACATCGAGTAAGATGTCAAATAATAAAAATAAATAATCACCCATTGTTTCCAAACGATGTCTAGATACATTAGTTGTTATATAGACTTTCAAAAACAAATCTGAATTGTATGGGAGAGCGCCATTAGGGCAGCACGGCCCGTTTTTGGGTTCTCATTTTTAAATGTAGATACATAGAATCAATGTCCCATTTTTCAGCCCAAAAAGGACCGAGTTTAATCTAGTTGAATTGAAACATTAAAACTTTGCCTCGAAATGAATCTTCCTCAGCCTTGGATTGAAATTTCTTGGCTTTGACTTTTAGTTAATGATTTTGTTTGCCTGAATAATTCCAACAGAGGTCCTAGGAAAAATCCCCAATAAACTAGGGAGTGGGATGGTTGCTGGTGGCGTTTTAAGATGTCATTTGATTGGCAAAATGAATTTCGATGGAAAAGTCGGGGGCGTATTTAGACGCTTCTCCCTTCAGGGATTTTACCCTCTCACCAACCAAAGGATCCCCCATTTGTTATTATTTTATAACATCCATTTTAGTCGTACTAAAATTAAAGTTTTTCTAAAGGCGCCTTTGGCGCCAATTTATACTGACTTTGAGAGGGGAGCGCGCGCCAAAAAGTCCATTTTTTTTGTCAAATTATTACAAAAAGTGCCCAAAAACGGGTTTTTGGGCACCGTTGTTTCTATAATTTGCCTGCATTGCAAAAATTTTTGGCACAAAATGGTCTTTATAGTGTTTTGGGAATGCACGGAAAATCAATTTGGTCGACCGTAAATAAAAAGTCGACAAAATTTTCGAAATTTTTTTGAAAATCCGCCTCTTCCCCCCATGTTGAAATTCTGCGTGATCTTCTTTGAAGAAAAAATGTTTTATTCGAAAGTAATGTCAGATAACTTTTAATGGCGATAGCACATTTTACAGAGTGTTTTCTAAAATAAATTTCTAGAGTTATGCCTTATCTCAAAGTTGAAAAATCTGAAAAAATTGCAAAAAAAAATATTTTCTCAGTGATATTCAGAAAAAAGTTAAAATAGTCTCATTTCAGAATCGGCCCATGGTTCACAGATATGACTACCTTCCCACGGGCGCTTTTTCCAACTGGTCTAGGCCCCTTCATCATACAGCATCCAGTTCCCACCGGTATGTGTTTTCAAATTAATGTCAAGTTTTCCATTTGGTTGACAAATTGATTAAACAAAGCTTTGAACTAATCGTTTAAAGACGATAAAAAGCAATAATTTCAAAATTAAACAAGACTGCTCGTATCAGGGCGAAGCCCTGAAAGTTCCGACTTCCTTTTAAGGTTTATGGAGCAATAATAAAATGAAAAACTTCAAAGTAAGAAAAAAAATATAAAAATGTTTTTTGAAAAAATTTGAGATTTTATGTAAAAACATCATCCCACAGGTCATATTAAGTACAAAGTGATAGCTTTTGCGCCTATTAACAAATCAATTATGGCATATAAGCTTCCTTGAACCAATTTAGAACGATTTCTAAGACGGATTAAATCTCGCTTACGCGTTAATAGCGCGAAATTTATCGCGCGGTAATTGTCCCAAATTGGCCAAAATGGCAATCTTTAAACCCCCATAACTTTACGAAAAAAGTACAACTTTCGAATGATATAAAAAATTGCGTCAAAAATTGCGTCAAAAATTGCGTTAAAAAGTCGAAATTTGTCTGAAGAAAAAAAAAACCCACCCCGAGCACAAATACTCCGTTACTTTCGTATCGAAAGTCGGAACAATAAACTGATAGTTTTGTCGCAATTAAGACTATTGAAAAGTCACTTAGAACACTTGGAGTTTATCGCGCCGACGAGAACACTTTTGTGATTTTTGATGGTTATATCGGTAAAAGCAGCAGCGGTTTTAGGGGGGGGGGAGTTCGGACTCCCCTCCCCTCACGGAATCGACCACCTGTCGACCCAAAAGTTCCCCCCTTTGTACTATTTTGAGACATCCATTTTTGGCTGACTGTCCCTAAAATTTTTCTAAACGAGCCTTTGGCGCCAAAAATACAAATTTTGAGGGGATAATGCGCACCAAAAAAAAACAAATTTTGAGGGGATAGCGCGCGCCAAAAAAACGTGATTTTTTGGTCAAAGTTTGCCAAAAAATTTCCTGCAGCGCAAAAAATTTCGACTAAATTGCGTTTTAATGGGCATTTGGGAGAGCTTAGAAAATCTATTTGGTCGATCTAAAAAAAGGTCGCAAAATTTTCGAATTTTTTTTTGAGAATCCGCCCGCCTCAAGAAAATCCTAGATCCGACCCTGGGTAAACGTAAAAAACATGAACGCTCTGACTCGCCCAGGTTTTTTTAGTATGAAATTTTCAGTTTTACGACGATGTAATAATTAATTTTGGTTTTCAACCGTTTCTTTTGGCCTAGTCAATTATGTTATTTCGGAGGGTTTGTAGCAGCAAAATAATCTATAATGCTACTAGTCTAGTGGAAGAAGTAAAGAACTTTAATACTGATTTCAAAATTCTCAAAAAATGATATTTCTCACAAAATATCAAAGTTTCCCGCAATTACTTAAGGTGGTTGCATAGAAAAGGCACAATACTTCTATGCACTCAGTTAACTGGTTTAGTGCCAAGCTTGCAACTTTTTTGACCCTTTTCCTCTATAAGATTTAACTGAAAAAATGCCTGATAATTCCTTGACAAAATGCATGACCCATATTTTATAATCAGTTTTACAAGTTTTTGGTTTAACTGGTGCCTACTGAAGTCACATATTGCGTCTGCTTTAATTCAGTATTTTTTGGAAAAAAACCATTCTGGCAAATTATCTCTGATCTTTGTTGAGTAAAAAATATCAGCAATGATTCAGGATTAAAAAACAGGGAAACTGAAGTAGTTTTGTGCCGCTCTGATGCAGTACTGGAGTTATACTGAAATCTTACTTCAACAGTACTGTTTTGCACTGAGAGACCAATCCGGGATTGTTAATGTTTCAACTTTTGAGACAACTTACGGAACTTTTGTGTTCGAGTAGTTTTTCTCCAGACACATCTTAATTTTTTGAGCAAATAATTTTTCCCCAATTTTTTCTATAAAGTTTATGCATAGACCCAAAAATACACACTGGAAACTTAACAGCATGTGAGGCTAAGAATTTCAAAAATTAAAATTAGAATAAGAAATCAAGGCAGTTTTTCATTTCTTGCATGTTTAAAAAAAAAAATCAAAACTCTGTAATTCGACAACATTTCGAAGCAGTCGGAACATTCAGGGCTTTGCATTGAAATAATCAAAGGAACTTTGTATTCGGGTTTGTTTTTTTTTTTCGTTTCCCAAGTAAAACTATATCCCACAACTAATGATCGGAATGAGTCAAGTGATACACCATAATAAAGTTTTTTCAGTCGTGATTCGATTAAAGTTAAAAATTTCATTATGCTTAAGCCTTGAAAACTTGATTTATTCCAATTGAATGATTTTTGGAGTGTTTTAAACGCTATTTTGGAAATATAAAACTTCAAAAATTTAAAAACAATTTTGCAAAAGCAAATTTAAAAATATTGTTGCTCTTTAAGTTTTTTTCCAACTATACCTATTTTACTATGAATGTCTAATATGCTAAATTTATAGTTTTTTGCTTAGATATTTCTATCACCCTTCGCAGAAAAAAAAACACTAATTTAAAAAATATATATATTTTTAAGACTATGGTCGGAACATTCTGTGCTACCTGCGCACTAACCGGCTCTCCTTGTTTTAACTGCGATTATTTAATTAGTCAGTAGTATGAGTCTGGAATCATACATTCCCAATTCGCAATGGGACCTTGTCAGTGCCCGAATGACTAATACCACACGTAAAGCGAGGTTGGGGTCCACACTTAAAGAATTCGAAGTCATTGTGTACACGCTAGAAATGAGGAGAAAACCACAGTTCTTCGTCTACACATTAGTTCTTCCGTGTCTCATTCTAACACGTAAGTGAATTATCATAGTTTTGACTACAGGTTTTCTCAATTTTTATTTAGAAATATCAGTTGACACTGGCTTAAAAATACCAACTGACACTCAATGACTTTAATTTGAGGAAAATACACCCAACGAAACTGTGAAGTATAACGAATAGCTATTTCCTTCTTTTTTCAAACGTTGAAAAAATTAGAGTATGAAAGTACTGTCCACCTAATATAAACAATATAAGTTTATAGTTTACTTTTCAGATGTCAAATAAGGTGTTAAAAGAAGCTATCGAATGTTTGATTTAGTGCTGACTGTGCTGTCGGTGCTTCTTCCTGTCGAGAGTGGGGAGAAAATGGGGTTGGGAGTGACCATTCTGCTGGCACAGGTGGTCAATCTAATGATCCTCTCAGGGCTCATACCAACCAGCTCCCAGAACTTCCCCGAGCTCGGCGAGTGTTTTGCTAAATTTTTTGGCCATCATGATGGAGATATGGCCATTTTTATGGCCATATCATGCTTAAACCATTCTAGGGCCATCATTTGAATCTTCACAATCTAAACATGCCAAAATTTTTCACAGCCGTTTTCTTTTCATCTATCGGATGAAAAAAATGCTTATATTCTTTAGATTTTTGGTCCTCTTTTCTACCAAGCTCCTGAGTAAGTTGTATCAAAATTGTAATAAAAATTTTAACGAATAATTTTAAGTAAGCGGAGTAAAAGTTTTAACTTTTGACCCAGTTTTCTCCAGTTAGTTTCATGTTATCAAAAAAGCGCCAAATTGTTCTAGGAATTCAAAGATCTTAAAGGGCATCTATTTTTCTTTGCCATTCGAAAGATGAGATTATTTAAAAAAAATCAGTGTTTTTTATGTTTACTTGCGTTCATTACTTTTTTCCAATCTTCGATTGGCTATGTTTGCCTTGTGGTGATCAGTGTGTTATTACATTCGATTTTAGGCTACTACTTCCTGATCACGATTTCATTGATTGCTCTTTCTCTGCTCTACAACGCTGTCATCATGTCGATCTATTTCTACGACTACGCCAATGTATTAGGATACCTCAAATCTGCCAGTAAGTTTAGGATTATGCTACAGCTAGAATTTATTCAAATTACAGTTCAGATAGGATCTTAAGATTAATATGGATAGCCGGTTGCTGTGCAATTATTACAGAATGTTCCGACAGAATGTTCATGAAAAAAAAACTACTTACTCTTTCTCTCTCTCTCTCTCTCTCTTATATATTCCAAATTGTTGTGCGTGGCGTGATGAGAGAACCATAAGCATAAGCAGTTTATGAAAAGTTTATTGAAAGAGACATAATTGACAACTGGCGTCAAAAAATGAAAAAAACTTCTGAAAAATTTCTCCTTATTGCCAAAAAGCGCTAAGCGAAGCTGAAAAAACTAGTTATAGTTTTTCGAAGTGAAACTAAGTTTTTTCACTACACAAATATGAATTTTTAATTCAAACTCGAGCGAGTCTTACTTGCTCGAAATTAGACTATTTAAAACTCAAAAACTTCAAACCAGTTGTTCTCAATAATGGAACTAATTTTTGAAGTTTTTCGATGTCGTTCAAATCATGACTAAAAGGGCTTTAAATACGAAACATCACTCAACCCACTCCGGTGATTATGCTTGGAAAAAAGTTAAAGCACATCCGAAGACAAAAGTTCTTCCTGATTATCAATGGTCAAAAAAATCCACCACAATCGATTTTTTCCGAATTTTCTTAAGGGCGGGTAAGTTAGTAAAATTTGTGGGTTTTTTCGGTTATACCCCCCTATATGATGAAAAAACGAAAACTTTTGATTCAAAATTGACACAGTATTACTAGAAAAAGAACGATATCATTATTCTAAACTTATTCTCAGAGCGTTCTTGCTACAATTTACGAAACTTCAGCATTACTCGTTTAAGTTATGTAATAAATCCTGCAAATTTTTGCGCAATTTGAAACAAAGTTGAAAATATAAATTCCATTAAAACTTAAAGTTGAAGAAGCTAAGAAATTAATTTGAAATTGAAGAAGAAAATGAATAACAAGACTGCAAAGCCTTGAATGAGACGACTGCCGATTAATTGGACTCGAATGTTTTTAGTAACTCAAGAACACACACTGAGGTTTCAAGGATCATTATCAATCATAATGGATTTTCAAGGTCAGTCTCGATAAAACCTAAAACAATCAATTATAATGGATTAACAAAAGATTATAAACTAACAAAAAAAATACAGAGTAAAACAGCATAACGAATCATTTTTTGTTTTACTTGAGGCCTCGGACTTTTCAACTTGAGGCTCCTACTTGACGTTTTACTTGAGGCTCCTACCTCCATTCAGCCCTCCACAGCTTGTGTGAAAATAGTATATGGAGCGATGATTGAGTGAGGGAGGGAGTGGGGGTTGATGAGAGATCGGGGTGGTGGGGATGTGTTTGTTGGGAGAGGGGGGAGGGGGGAGGGGTAAGCTCGTGGAGGGCAGTTAAATTTAAACAACGCGTAAAAACGTTTTCTTTGGCCTGTTTTTTTTCAGTTTACATGGGGGACGTTTAGATTTGGGGGAGAGGGAGGAGAGAAAGGGGAGGGTGAAGGTTGAAGGGGGTAGGCTGTTAGGGGGATATAAAATGGGATAAAGGTGGGATATGGGTTAAACATTTCACACGGAAGGGTATGGAAAGCGTGCTGGATATTGTTTTGTAAAATTTAAGTAGATTTGAGCAATCGATTATTATTCATGGAATCTCATCGCTGGGAGTGGCAAAACAAGGATTTTTAGACTGATCGTATTAAAAGTCAAGAGTGCCGAACTAAAACAGTGCCGAAATTGGAAATGTGTTCAACAGTGCCCAAAACTGATGTTTTTTGGAAAAATTAAGTTCTTTTTGTGAGTTGTTAGCAATTTTGACTAAATATTGTTTTGTTTGATCGAAAAGTTTAATGACGCCGCGCTCGGGGAACTTTAGTTTGTATTCCAAGGCGCGTCAATTAAATAGCCCTTTTCGTCTCTCCAACTTCCGTCCATTTGAATATAATTAATTGTTTGTCACTTCGGACAAGTAAAAACGATATTCAAAAAAATTTTGGGCACTGTTGAACAAGATTATGTTTTTCGGCAGTGTTGTACTTGCGCACTGTTGTACTACCCCAATTTAAACAACCTTCCATTCTAACTTAACGATTTAATTAAAGTTAAATCCAGTTTGATCCTGTTCAAACCAGTTTGCCAAAAAAAGTCCAAAAATTTGACGCATGACTAAAGAAAATGGATGTAGAATGAGTAATTTTTGTGAAAGTTGTCGAATGCTATCCAATAATGATACGACCAATAATTCCACTATTGATTTGAGGACATTAATTATTTGTTTTTTTTGTTCAGACTTTAGTAGAAAATGACGAAATTGATTTGCGCTTGGGCTGGTTTTTTTATACAGACTATACTAAAAAAAAACTAGCAATTTTTGACGGAACTTTTTTTCTCATTCGAAAAGTATTGTTGTTATAATCACAAGTTATTTTAAAAATATTTTTTCCTCCTGAGATCAATTTTCGTAAGGTTGTAGGGTTTGAAAAATTGCCAAATTGGTCAACTTTTTGGCGCTGTTTTTTTCGTGCTTTAAAACCGTAATCGAAGAAATAACCCAACCTTTAAATAGTCCCAAATTGAACTGAGGCATGCTTTTTGCTAAAAGTATATTTTTTTAACTTTACAGAGCATATGAGGGGAAAATTTTGAAAAACGTTTTTCAAAACGTTTTTTTGAAAGTAACAAAAAATTAAATCCAAACATGTTTTAAAGATTTGGGATGTTTAAGGAGCGATTTAATGCATGCTATTAACGCGTAAGCGAAAAATTAATCCGTCCTAGAAATCGTTTTGAGCTGGGGGACGCGCTTTTACCAGTCCGACCTTTTTTATATAAAAACTAGTACCTAGACCTTTTACCAGATTTAATAAACACATTTGCTTGACAGATGTAATGACGCCGCTTAGTCTGGTCATAAATAATTAAAGCGCTCTTCTCATCAAAACTGTGTTTGTTTTAACCACTTCATTTGTCAAAGCCTCGTTTCAAATTAGCATTTAAATTGGTCTATTCTTATGTGGTCTGGTAAAAGGCCGTCTGTTACAAATCCTAGCGCCCAAATTGGGTTCAAGCAAGTTATTTGGTATAGTCAAAATTTTGCCATCAGCGAACTATATCACTTTGTACTATACATAACGTGAGGGGATATGGTTTTCAAAAAAAAAAATAGAACTTTTTAATTTTTTTTTGGAAAAGATCATCATTTTTTAAGAGCAAATACTTCTCCTTTGACCTTAAAAGGCAGTCAGAACATTCAAGGCTCCATCCTGATGCGAGTTGTCTTTGTTCTAACTGAACTTTGCATATTTGAACTCATCACATTCGAGCTTTGCAGTCATTGAAGCCTCTTTTTTATTTTAGCATCTAAAGTTGAACCAAGGAATCAAGCAGACAGTGAACACATCTCGTCCAAAAACCCAGGATTGGAGATAGATTCGAAACTTTCACTGGAAACTTCCTTGATCAAACTTGTCAAGGTCATCCAGGAAACTAAAAATGGGGTTTCGAACGAGTCCAATGAGAGAAGACAGAAGTTGTGCGCTGTCGCCGACCATCTTTTCGCAATCATTCTTTTTGTTATTATCTTGATTGTCCACGTTGTATTTTTTATCCCCCACGCATAAAAATCTGTGTATTCTTTAAGTTTCACTGTGCACTCTAAGTTCCGAATTGTAGATTTAAGATTTAAAAGTAATGGAAAAAGAAAAATTTTTCATTTAATTTGTTTCGAGACTTGCCTATGAGAAAGCGAAATTGTGTCATCTACACTATCAAAGTTTCATAGCATAAAGATGTACATGAAAAATAGTATAGATGTACTTGAAAACTTTACTGCACATGAAAGAATGTTGTTTAAAGGATTGGCTGGCTATCTTTTACTGTTTTTGAATGTGTTTGCACATTTTAATCTTTTACAATTTAATCCGGTTCGATCCATGATGCGAATTTTATATTAACAGAACTCTTTGCTCGATAGTCTCAGAGTGGGTCAAAAACCTTTCACCCGCAGTCATACTGACTCTGGGTCACAAATTTTAGTTGCATTGCTACCTATTTTGGTATAAAGTCGAACACAAGCTCGAAACATAAAATCTAACACAAATTTACAGCACAGTCGAACTTAAAGTCGAAACATAAAGTCAAGTCAGTCGAAACAAACTTGAAAACGAACAAAATTTCACAAATTTGATCTTATTGTCGGATTGTTTAGCTTGTAAAACTGTTAAACAGTTGCAATTAGCAAAATAATCCAGTACATATGTACTATCAAAATGCAGTTAGTTAGAACAGCATATTTTCTGATCATTTATAGGACCGCCACAAGAAGGCCTGCACATGGTCCTAAAGTAAAATCTTAGCAAAATTTTTGGGGGTAATGATGAAAAGCTAGGAACAGTCAAATGAAATAAAAATCTTTCAAGTGAAATTAAATTTAGGCAATTAAAAAGAACAACTAAATGATTAACATATTTATAACTCTCATGAAAGCTAAACTTAGAAACGAAAAATTTGTCGAATTGTTTTTGCGTGTGAAACATATGAAAAAAAAAATATTTAAAAATCCGGGATATGAAAAATTTGGAACTGATTTGCGGCTCCCGATCCGAATGCCCAAGATTAAAAGGCATGACAGATTTAGGCTGTTGCCAGATTTAGGATATTTTATTTTCATATACAAACTTAATTTTATGTGGGATAAAATGGCATGTATATATAATGCAAGGGGTCTAGAATTTTTTCAAAGGGAATTTCTGAACAAAAAATCAAACTCGGTCGACCCATTTTAAAGTCGATTAAGCTGATTTTCATAGAAAAGATAAAGAAGACCCTGTTTTTCAATTTTTTGTTCATCATTGGATTTTTAAAAACAACAAGAAAAAATACTGCTTTTGGGAGTTTTTAGAAATATTTTCATCCAAAAACTGAACTTAAATCCGTGATGAGATGTACAGCTTGTATGTTGATCTCTTCTTTTATAGATAAATTGTCTTAACTTAACCAGTGTATGCAATTGAATACTTTTTCCGGCGCGTGCTCCCTGATGAAAGATCGTATACATCCCAAAAATTTGCAAAACCCAATAACAAATTGCAGATTTCCGTAAGCTTTGAGGGATCCGCTATTGCCTCAAATGTCGCCTGCTTTGAACTACGCAACAAAATTTTAAGGTGTGTTGATTGAACCTGCACAAAATCAAAAATCCTGAGCAATCAAGTTCATAGCTCTCTAGACATATAAACACTCGCCTAAGTTTTGAGACTTGCCTATAGGAAAATTTAACTGTATCATTTAGACAATGAAAGTTTTAAATGTCTGATTTCACCCAAATGCTGTTCAGAGAGTTTTTAAATGTTTTGGAACCTTCTAAAAATTGAAGCTTTGGGTATTTGTCGACATTTTTAACGAAAATTTTGGGAGTCGGGGGAATTAAAGGGGTCAAGTCCACCCCTTTTTTCATACAAAAAATGATAGAAAATTTTTTTGCTACATAAATAACTTTTTTTAACGAAAAGACTTATGCTTTTTATATTTCACATTAAATCCCGAATGTTTTACAACGATGTTTAAGAAGTGTGTGAAAATTGTCACTTACATATGTGAGTATTCATTGAATTTTTAATCAGAATTCAGATTAGAAATAAAGAAGTTTTAGAAAATCCCTGCTTTAGTCTTGCGTATTTCATTAAAAGTTTCTGGCCAGAATCGTAGATTAGAAATTAAGTATATTATTTATCGTCCAAAAAACGAATTTCTTAGGTGTGGGGAGTTTTTGTACCGATTATTATGACGGTCTACAGCCCGGGTAAGTCTCCTTTGAGCAAGTTACGTTAAGATAGTTAAGCTTCACTGCTAAATCCTTATGAGTTGACCAACTGATTTTTTGACCTTTTGTTTGAACTTAGAGCGAATTGTGATTGAGTAGTCTATGTCCTAATAGCGGGTAAGAGTTTCTTGTTTTTAGGCACTTTTTGTTGAATACAATTTAAAAGAAATATTCAAAAGTCTGCCGATTAAAATTGTGAAATAAAACCAAAGCAGGCGCCTGAAAGTTTTTTGAAGATATTATTTCATCCGTAGTCATGGAAATTTTTTTGTCGCTCATCAATCAAAAACTGTCTAGAATACTTCTAATTCAGGAAACCAATTATCCGCTAAACACGCTACACAACCAACTTCATTGCTCCAGGTTTATATTTATCATGGCTTAGGTGCTAAAATAAAGTTGCTTTGAAAATTTTTCCCCCCAGTTTTGTCAATTTTTTTTAAATGTTTTTTATTTTATTTTTTTCATTTTTTCTTCTTTTTTTTCAGATTTTCTTACTGCCCTTCACTTTTGCAAAGTGGTGACAGCTCTTTTTAGGCAACTTAGCGGACATTTCGTTGTCAGAGACAACCACCTATTTTAAATTCAAATCAAGGATTCAATCTTGACAACTGCTAATACGCTGCACTATTAGTTTGCTGGACATTTATTTGGTTTCTTGAGGATGGTTTACTTTTAAATTTACTTTTCTTTTGTACAGCCTCAGGCGAAAAGATTCCTTATAGCTTATGGGGTTGCACTTTTTAAGACCTACAGTGGATAAAAAAATTTGGTAGCCTGGCAAATTTCGTCCACTGATGGGATCGCGATGCATTGCGAAATCTCTGTTTTTTAAGCCGCTTTGTTTTGCTTTATAATCATTCGCTACTTGACTGCTCAATTTTGCGTACTAATAATCCTCTACTTAAATTGGACTTTTGTCAGTCAATATTTTAGAGACAAAGCACCATTTAAATAAATTTACCCAGCACATCTCTGTTATTGCGACTCTTACCAATTATTCCCGCGGACAAAACGTTTTTTTTTTTCAGGGGAAACCCCCCAACCAGCTTTTTATTGACGTGTTAACTAAGCATATAAAGTAGAATCAAAGTTTTTAGATCAAAGAAAGAACGCAGAATTTTTGTGGAAATGTTGCTATTAGTTAATATTTACTTTTTCGTTGAAGATCTTGAATTTAGTTTCTTCACGTCCAATATTTATTAAATTTGTCACTTAAGTTTTTTTTTCAGTCTGAAAATATTCATATTCGTCTTTATGATTTGAGAGTTGAGGTTTTGGCATCTCGCAATTAAGACGTTAGCATGCTGAGATTGAGTGGGTAAAATTTATTCTAGGAATGTGGCGAATGGTCAAAACAACCCAGTGCCTGCTTCCTACAATTTCCCCACTCTTAATTGAATTGCAAGCCTCCTTTGAAACAAATTTGAAAAGTATACTCAAGTAGTCGTTTGCTCTAACCACGCATGGAGAGTCCAGTTTCACTTAAGTAACGATATTTGACTCCTTATGTATATTTTTACTGATGCCTCTGATTAAAAAATGTTTTTCATCAAATGTTGAATTGTTTTTTAAAAATCTTTTAAAAAATTAACGATTTTCAGACAAATCTATAAATGACAATGTAATGTTGAACATTAAAGATAAATTTTATTAATGGTTAGGCTGTTTTTTTTTTGTTCAATCTTGTTCATCTATAGTTCGCTTAGATTACATATTGCTCCTTAAGAAGTCCATAAAAGCTCAAATATTGTTTGCCATATCTTAATTGACATGCATCGTTTTTTGGGTTTGAAAATTATATAATTGCTTTTTTCGGTGCGAGAGAGGAAGATTTTTTCATCCGGTTGGTATTGGACAATAAACATGGCTTTCAGTCGCTTAGATTAAATACAATAAATTTCCCTCACTTCTTGAATAAAGCTGCTAAATTTATTTGTGTTTTTGTTCGCGGCGCTTTTCAATTACTTGATTGGAAAAGACACCGTTTGAATCAACTTAAGTAGTATTCCCCCTTCTCAACACTTATTTCAACACTTACCAATTAGAATTTTCAAGTCACGCCTGAAAAGATCAATTCAATTAAAGAAAACTTCATTTCATCAATTTTCTTTTTATCTGGCTACCTTTCAATTTTTTTCCCGGATTTCGCAACTTTTCATATATATACATTTCGGTTCTTTGCGTTTTACACCCTTTTCTTGGTCTGCTTTATTTGTTTAGGTTCCAAAATTATAGGCAAAAAAGGGATCCAATAAAAAATTAATTTGTGATCAGTTTATAACGGAACTTATTAATTAAAAGTTGGTGGTGGAGACAAAGTAAAGCAAACGAAACCAAAAAAAATCCCGTTATTTTTCTCTTCTATTGCAAGGTTAAATGATGGTACATCGAATTAGGTCGGATAAAAGTTTATAAATACTGATATTTGGGTAATTTCATCTACAAATAATACCTGCAACAATCTTTAAAAAAGCTGTTATATTTCTCGATACGGGTCTTCAAAGAAGTTTTACCTTTTGAGAAGCGAAACAAGTCGACTTTGATTTACTACGTTATCACTTTATCAATCATTCTAGTTTCTATCGACGCTTATAGCTTTTTGTGTGGTTTCTCAACAAACTGATTTAAAAAAAATAGTTTGAAGAACATTCGTTTCACTAAAACGTTGAAATAAAATAAACTTGTAAATGATGATATTTGAAGTTCTATTGAAAACACTTCAAACGTTTCCAAGATAGTCTCAATTAAATTGTTGTTATTTACTGCATTTTTTTCGCTTGAGTCAACTTTATATTCAAAATTGTCATGGATGTAAATGTT